GGCGGTTTGTGAAAGGATTCTCGGACATTGCCAAGCCATTGCATCGATTGACAGAGGAGAAACGTGCCTTTATCTGGGACGAGGATTGTGAGCAAGCCTTTCGAGAACTAAAAGAACGGCTTTGTAACACACCAATTCTCGGATACCCCAGCGCGAAAGGAATATTCGTAGTTGATACGGATGCCAGCAATATTGGAATAGGAGGTGTCCTTTCACAACGCGATGGTGAGCAGGAGAAGGTTATTGCTTACTTCAGCAAGTCACTATCCAAGCCGGAGAGGAATTATTGCGTGACCAGGAGGGAATTGCTGGCCGTAGTCAAAACTCTGCACCATTTCAAGAAGTATTTACTGGGACGGAAATTTTTGATTAGAACTGATCACGCTGCTTTGAAATGGCTGCTTCAGTTTAAGGATCCCGAAGGCCAAGTAGCCAGATGGTTGGAACAACTTCAGGAATTTGACTTTGATATCGAACATCGCGGAGGAAGAATTCATGGCAACGCAGATGCATTATCGAGACGCCCATGCGTGGAAGATTGCAAGCATTGTGCCAAGAAGGAAACTGCTTTTCTTAAGGTGATAAGGACTGATACTGTTGACGAGGCATGGGGAGATGATGCGATGAAATTAGAACAGGAAAGAGATGCAGATATTAAACCAATACTGGAGTGGGTACGAAGTGGTAACAAGCCAAGTTGGAGTGACGTCGCCCAATATAGCGCGGTAACGAAAGGTTTATGGGCACAGTGGAAAAGCCTTACGCTGCATAACGGACTTCTGTGCAGGAAATGGGAATCAACAAACGGCAAGGACGAGCATTTGCAATTGGTGGTGCCTCGTTCAAAAATAAGGGATGTATTAAAAGCGTTCCATGATGGATCTTCTGGAGGACATTTGGGAATTAGGAGGACTTTGGTGAAGATCAAGGAGAGGTTTTATTGGTTGCATTGCAAATATGACGTCGAAGATTGGTGCCGGAAATGCACTAGTTGTGCAGCTGTCAAGGGTCCACAAACAAGAAGCAGAGGGGCGATGAAAATCTACAATGTTGGTATGCCTTGGGAGAGAATAGCCTTAGACATCGCTGGACCATTTCCAATCACTGATTCGGGCAATCGCTACGTTTTAGTGGTTATGGATTATTTTACAAAATGGCCGGAGGTCTTTGCCATACCGAATCAAGAGGCAGTAACTGTAGCCACGAAGTTGGTAAACGAGGTATTCACCCGATTCGGAGTGCCCTTGGAGATGCACAGTGATCAAGGACGGAACTTTGAATCCCAAGTTTTCCAGGAAACTTGTAAACTTTTGGGAATCCATAAGACTCGAACGACCCCTTATCATCCACAGTCAGATGGAATGGTCGAACGCTTCAACCAAACATTGGAGCGACACTTAGCAAAGGTGGTTGACAGCCATCAGAGAGATTGGGACACTTACATACCTCTCTTCTTGCTTGCCTATCGGACTGCTGTACATGAAAGTACCGCAAAGACGCCTGCATTTGCAAATTTTGGAAGGGAATTGAGATTACCGGCAGATCTTGTATCGGGCTGTCCACCTGGTGACTCTCGCACCGAGTTTAGCGATTACATAAGCGAGTTAAGGGCAAAAATGTTGGACATTTATGAGCAGATCAGGGAGGCCGGTCTTCAAGCTAGTGATCGCGCAAAGACGCGCTATGATCGACGAGCCAATTCTGTTGGGTTTGAAGAGGGGTCATTGGTCTGGCTTCATAATCCAGTCAGAAGGAAGGGAAAATCTCCAAAGCTGCAACCGAGTTGGGAAGGTCCTTACGAGATAGTCACGAAGATCAATGACATTACTTACAGAATTCGGAAGTCTTCAAGGAGCCCTTTGAAAGTTGTCCATATAGACAGGTTGGCGAGGTATTACGGCAGCAACGATGCTCGGGACGAGCGAATCTAAGAGGGGGGCAGTGTGACAGAAAACTCTTTGACATCATGACGTCAATGGATGGTTGTCAAACGTTGCCTAGAGATTGTAAATTTCGTCGTGAATTGTCAACACGAGTTGGTGTAATCGGTAAGGCGTGTGGATTACACCACAGAGACCCCGAGTTCGAGTCCCGCCGTAAACATGAAGTTTTTTAGTTGATGGAAGTTTTGTCGAACTTTCTGGAATATTTGAGTGAAAGTAATGAAAAATTAAGGAGCGAGAAGGAGAATAAATAAAAATGAATAACGAAATTATTGGAAGGTTCTGGAGGCATGACGATCAAAAAGAATAACGAAATTGAATGTTCTAGAACCTGACCGGGGGTATATAAGCGGAACTGCGGCTCACCGCTGGCAGTTGAGTTCTAAGTCTAAAGCGATTCGGAAGAAAAGGAAGAAGTGAGAAAGAAGAAAAGTGAGTGAAATAGTGAAGTGCAGTGAAATAGTGAAGTGCAGTCAGTTAAGTGAGTTAAGTCAGCGTGAACGGCAAAGTTGTGTCAGTCGGCCGGACTCTGCTGGAGAGGAACGCCGATAACTTAACTCCGTGGACGCTGTAACTTAAGTGCAATAGAAAGTCTGAAAACCGGTATTAGTGTTTCATTTCATCCAATCCCGTAACCCAAGCCCGCATAGTCAGGAACGTGACGTCAGGCACGTAACAATATCTTAAAGAATAAGGAAGTAAGTACATTTTCAAAAAATAGTTCAGAAAGTCAAAAGTCAAAAAAGTCAAAAATAATTTATTCCAATTAGACCTTTACAGGCACTTTTGAACGTCAAACAAAATTTAAAATAAAAAATAGTGTCAGTCTGTCGGTCAGTCCTCTTAGTGAAGCTATTTACTCGTTCCAAAGTGTAGATTCCGATGGAGAAGAACGAGCAAGAAACTCCATGGTTACTCTTTTTAAATCAGTTTCACATACAGATTCCTTTTACAAACAGTTGGTTCAATTATGTGAGAACAGTGTAACACTAATATTTATTCAAATATAAAAATAAAGTAACCTTAAGGACAATAGACAGTCCGGAGCTGACCAGTCCCAACTGACGGCGCTCGTTCACGAGCATGACACGTACACCAGCATCGCCTAACTCAACCATATTATAGGGAATTAAGCGATCCAGCGCCCATGCCACCGCCAGTGTGACCTTTCAGTGAGCATGACAACTCCAAGCTGTTATAAGGACCGACATTCTGCTAGTCTAACCAATTATAATAGGTTACAGGGCACTCACATTTACAAATTTATCAAGTTATAGTTATACAATATAATGCAATTTCACTAAAATGAAGAAGTCCCGTTCAAGCAAAATCCATTGGAACGTTATTTATTTTGGTGTAGGTTTGCTATCCTGTGGAGCAGGACCAGCATGTCTCCAAGCATCTTTATCTACAATGTAATCATTCAGTGTGTAGTATGCTTTTCTACATAAAGTTTTCTTTACACATAATTTAAAATTTCTTTCATTTAATTGTTGTATTTCGCCTGGGATTTTGTTACAACATTTAACACAGAATCCCATGAACGACTTATGTACCTTTGCCAATCTAAATAATGGCTGACATAATCTATCTCTATGTCTAGTTTGATAATTATGTCTTTCTGACACCTTATCGAATATTTTTAAGTTTTTCCTAACATACATAATGTTTTCATAAATAAACTGACATGGCACGGTCATAATATTGATCTCTCTAAACTTTTCTCTAAGAGACTCACGACGCTTTAGGTTGTAAATAACTAAGAAAGATAGACAGGTACAATTTTTAACTTTCCATACAGAATAACTCAATTAAACAATATTTCGAAAAACGTTTTTACGCCTAGATATGTATATATTGCATTGTATTTTAAACTTGAAATCCTGTTCTGCGAATGCTCTTAAACCAAACACCGACAGAGTCCTCCGAATAAATGGTCTAATACTATCTGTATGCTTCACCCGGACCGAGAAAAGAATAACTAATTACTCAATTTATCCTGATTATCATCATCATCATCAATCAGCCTATAAGTGCCCACTGCAGAGCAAAGTCCTCTTCTCACATGGAGAAGGTTTGGGAGTTAATCACCACGCTTGCTCAAGGCGGATTGGCAATTTCAAACTTATAATTAGAAATTAAAGACCAGGTTTCCTCACGATGTTTTCCTTCACAGTTTGTCAGTGGTGTCTAAATAATCTTAGAAAAAGACAACAACGCGGAAAAAGTCACATTGCTACTTGCCAGGTTTCGGACCCGCACCCTCATGCATGAGAAGAGGGCGCCTTAACCTCCGGGCCACAATGATAACTAGTCAATTTATATATAGCTAATGGACAAACAAAATGCATCTATGTACACCTTGGTATAATATGTACTAGGTAAATAGCTAAAGGTAACTTGCTAATTGAATTACTTACGGCGTCAATAAAATTATACAAATGTGTTTATTTGTTCCTACAATCTACATATAAGTTGACTTAAAACAAGTGGATATTCTCGCCAATAGTTCACTTAATTAAGCCGTATTATTTTAATTTGTTTATGTGGGTATAAACTAGGACACACAGAATGTTACTGCTGAAACTAAAAAATTAAATAAGTCCTGTATTGATCCTAATTTATAAGCCTATAAAACATTCACCCCTTAAATTCTATTTGCCCCGTTTTACTGTAGCCAGTAACTGGCAAGAGTTGCAGGCTGCGATGTGTCCGTCGCGTCGTATGCGCTGAACATGAATTTATGGCCTCATTCGTGGCTTGAAACTAGACGAGTTATCGTTCCAAACGGTTAAAGTCAAAGTCAAATTCAATTATTTCAATTGTCAAATCAACGGATTTGACCAGTCCCAATTGTTACATGAGAAAGCTGATAAACTATAAAATATAGGGTGATATTATGGGTGTAACAGTGGGCAAAATAATAGTATAAACCTAACAGCAAAGCCATGGAATAAATATCTCAGCTTTACGCAGCTCCGATCGTCCGCTATCAGAACCCAAATCTGCTCAATTACCCCTTATTACATTAAAAAAATCTGGTAATAAAGTACTCACTAGAAGAAGCCAGTGCCTCCTTCAGCCGGGCGCTGTCCAGGTCACAACAGAAGACAGACATGGAGCCGACCTTCGTGCAGTTCGGTTCTGCTGGACACTTGGAGCGAGGCATGTGGAAGCACTTGCCCAGCTTCAAGTGCTGGTTGATAGGCTCCGGCTTCTCCGTCGACACTGGTGGTTGCTGTAAGGAAGATGGACAAATTAGATTGTGAACAGCTCTACTAGTTTTAAGTCAAAACGGGACATTTATGCATGAGCAGCGTGCGCGTCTGCGACGTCGCGTGTTGTCATTGGAGAATTAACAGCGATTTGTAAATTTTAGGTTTCGCACTCAACTGGTAAAACGGAAATCCTATTTCTATTTCTTATATATCTATAATCCTATTCCTATTTCTTAGACTCCGCTGTTCCTCCATCTGTCTGAGACCAGACTGTATAGCTTCAACCCAGTTAGCTAGAAAATTTTAAATTTGGACAGATTCTTTAGTTTTTATTATACACAAAACGCAATACTTACAATTTGAATTTACAATTGATAATTGCCTACAAATACTATCATGTTGTTGTTAATTCAGACTTTGTATACTTTAAAAATAATGTGTGGGAGGGATTGGTTCGGATCAAGTTGATCGGCTCGACCGGAGTAATACCATGGCTTCAAAGCAAACCAGGGTGAAGCAACCAATACAAAACCAAACCAACCGTTGTGTTTCGCCTTGTGGGAAAGAGTGGGAACACTGGAGCCTAATCCTGAAATTTCTGAAACCCGCTCTGGTGTTGCATGGGCAGCACCGATTGCTTACCATCAGGTATACCGTCTGTTCGTTGAAACACACATAAAAAAATTTCCTTCTTTTTGATCTATATAGATAAGTTTAGGGAGTTATATGTATGTAAGTGTTTTTTTTTGTGAGGGGAAAATCATCAAATGACTTCTCACGCCCAGGGCCGGGCGGGAGGGAGTGTCAGACTCTTACTGACTAAAAACACCCTGTTCCTTCTCATGCTCTGGGCCGAGGTTGTGGTGCCTCATTGCGCTTACCCTGCAACCTTAAGTAAGTACATAAGTAGGCGAAACAATAGTACTTAATAAACATAATATTGAACTATAAGTGGATGTGCTGCGAATGTGATAATTACCTGTATATCAACTAACTGTATTAATTAGCATAACTAGTTAATTTGCATACGTGTGTAAATATTATGATTTTTTGTTATGTAAGCTGGTAAATTATTTAGGCTTATTTACAATAATGTGACTAAGAGAGCTTTGTTTTTAGTTACTTATAGGTAACTAATAATTTTTATTCGAATGTATACAATGATGTGCTTGGCTGCAGATTAAGCTATATAACCCAATGACGTATTATATATAGACACGTCATGAACCAACATCGCGGCTCTTAAAAACGGCGAAAATACTAGATAACTACTTCTACGAGTAAAGAAAGGGAAAGAAAATATGACATCGTATAGTGGAATGCCTTTGCTAGAGGGAGATAAATATACATCTTCAGTTACATCGGCACGTGACTATACCTTCATGCGCCGGCCGCCATAAGATGGCGGGCGCCGGCGTCGAAAAAATAAAATAAAAATAGGTTGTTTGGTGAACTTACGCATGAAATGACACATTTTTGTCTTTAACTTTTGGAGTATAATTTGTACATCGTCTGAACACACACGACGGCATGCTTTCTTTATGTTTCGCACAGGTTTACACACACGATTTAAATTAAAAACACACGTAGCGTCGCGCGGCAGGTTGGTGCGTAACTAAGCGCGATGTTGTCAATTGCCTTCATTTCATGTTGTCATTTTAGAGCGCGGACAACGTATCTATAGTTTTATACATCATTGATATAACCAGTTTATCAGGGTCTCGCTTTGAAGGATTTTCCGCACATTCATCGGTCAATTTATATTGGTGTTATGTTTGGATGTAGCCAAACACAAAGTCAAGATACTAAAAAACTAAACTAACTAACTAAATCAAAGCTTATGTAATACAGAGGCAAGGTAGTGCTTCAGCCAAGTTTAGTTATAAAAACAACAAATTACAACCTGTTAATTACCGAAGTAATCGATGACCTTGTGTAGCAACTAATAGGGTTGAAATTAAACCACGTATATAGTGCTTGAACTGCTGGTTCGTATATTTGAACTATTGAACTACACAGATTTCAACTTGCACTGGTTTGAACTGGTTTTGCACTGCACTGGTCTAAACTGAACTATTTTTCACTGCACTGGTTTGAACTAGGTTTGAACTGGCTTTTGAACTGGGTTTTGAACTGAATTTACAAATAAATTTTACATACTTATATGACTAGTTGTAACGAAACCATAGCTCGTTTTTAATTGCGGCAACGCCATCTAGTTATAAAATTTGAACTAAAATAAAATAAATATGAATATTATGGTTTCGTTACTCTTGTGGTTGGTTATTGTCATCAACACAACCTCATTTTAGATAGTCGATTGAGAAAAATAGTGTGGCATAGAGCAGCTTCATTTTTTAAATATTACTAACAGTCTCCTTACCATCTCTAAATAGAAAAATCATTATCAAAGTATTTTTGCATTAATGAGCCGGCTTGACCGGAGTGAATACCCTTTCAGTTCACTAAAAACCTTCATTATGCTTCACCATGTGAGTGACTACCGAACACCCAATCGTCACCGTCCATCTCCAATCTCCAAATCTCTCCTTTTATCTCAAATCCTAAAGCTCTAATTGTCCTCTGGTATTGCAGGTGTCAATGAGTTATGCCGAGTGAAAACGAAACATAAAATCGCCTCGTTGTAACAAGAAATAATTTGTCAAATTTATAATAATGAAGATAAGGTGTAGGAAAGGTATGTACAAACCTCCCTGGCTTGTGCCAGCGCCTGCTGCTCGAAGTCATCAACCCTCATCTCGATGAGGGGCACGTGGAACACGAGGTATACCGTCAGAACCCATACTGAGACCTGCCGGAGAAAACAATTGGTAAGTTTTATAATTTTCAGAGAATACTATAAAGTACTTACATCTAAGCGCAAATATCAAAAACGGCTGAACCGATTTCGGTATTTGTCGTTTTGTTATATTTGTTATTGTCAGATGGTTTTTTTTTAAATTGGATTAAGAAAAGTAGAGGTTTCGGATGTTATTACGGTACACAATCATAATTTTTGAGTTGTTTACTTAAAAAATATTATTGGATAACCCTTGAACCTAGATTACGATAGCCAATTTTTGCATGTTACAGATAGGCTGAAAAATCACCATTAGCCACTTTGTTAATGTTCAATAAGGACTGATGTGGAAAAATATGTAAACATTGAAATATTGGTCAGGTTACGCTTCGTGCACTTATTACAGGTGAATGTAAATTCTAGGACATTATCTACCATTCTAACTCTCGTTAGAAGTCAATAGAAGATATGGAAAAAATATGTTGTAACATTGACTAGGTAACATGAGTAATCTATTTATAACTATGTATGTAGATTTGTACATGTACATGTATGTTTATTTGTAGCACACATTGTGGTCGGATCGCGCCATGTGGCTGAGATTCGTACCATGTGTATCTATTTACTGTTTAATAGCAGCCGTTAATATAATACTGGAACACTTGTTGCTTGCAATCTTTGGCGCAAGTCTTGTTCATATTTAACCTTTTTTGCCCCACACTAAGAATTTATTCTTTATCGTAAGTGCGTTTACAAACAAACAAATTCACTAACACGTCGTACAAAGACTTGGAACAATGGTGGACCACACACGAACCCATGACATGTTGCATATTATTCAGATTTTACAGTCACAGAGCCCTCATCATATGCTTGTTTTTTCTTGAAGTTATATTCTAACCCTATTATTGTGAAAAACATCTGAGTTTGGAACTATTTCGTCAGTATTTCATTTGAAAACACTAGACTTGCCTGAACTACAAAATAAATCATACACTATTACAGCAAATGAACACCTGTCCTCATAATCATAGAGTACATAATTGTAAGATCATTACTACCCGGCGTACGCGCAGACCTGAGAACACAAACGGATAGACCAATTATTTAATGTAGGATTTCCTCCTAAGAGGACAGAAATAGGTAAGATTGTCAACTCATGTTTTTATGCTGCTCTTCATTGAGTAATTTCAGTTTTATTTCTAATGCCTTTAGCCGGGTTACGATCATTTATCCTGTTTTGGTCTGATAGGTGCAATTTATGTGTTACCTGAGTTGACCTCGATTCGAACAACAGTTGCCAGTTTTTTATTAATAAATATTGTGAGACATACTGAAAAAAAATTTAAACCTGATGACGAGTTACTCCAATGAATTAACAGAGAAAACCTTTACTAGTTTAAAAAAAAAACGGGACTCTTACTCATGAGTAGCGTGCGCGTTGCAATCTCAAAATTTTTATTCTTGTAGTAAATGTGTAAGCACTCGGCTGCTACACAGCGTATTGCAACTGTTTGTGTGATCCACAAATAATTCAGAGTTAGGGCGTAAAGTGAATGTGAATTTTTATGTTTGTAAACATATACACGGTTAAGATTAAAATTCCAAGTTTGATTTTTGAAAATACGTGAGTGACATTTAATTTTGAAAAATTGTTTTCCTTGTAGTCCCATTTTTATACCAGTCTAGCTTTTGGCCCCGGCTTCGCAAGCGTATATAAAAGTAATGGATGCCGGATTCAAAAAAAAAGCGTTTAAAGCGAAATCTCGACTAAAATACGCAATTCAAATGTAGAAATCCTAGCAGCGGTTCCAAAGATTACACCCCTACATACATATTTTACCAACCAATACGATTCCATTCTCCATATCATTCGCTATAGAACTATAAGGTAGGCTACACATACAGCGAACATAATTGGAGGAAAAATAACTCTTTTCTTAAAAATAAGAACAATTTCTTAATTTAAGTCTTTATCTTGATTAACTAAACAATTAGTGCATTATATCATTTACGTCACACACCTCTAATTTAGGAGACAAGCGCAATTACACAAACTTACGTGACGTCACGCCGTATCTTATCAGTTTGGCCTGTATCGTTTATATATTGGGAGCAGTTGATCCTACAGATTAATCCTCTGCGAGATAGAATGGAATGTAGGTGCTGAACAATGTACACAGGTGCTATTATTATATTTTTTTGATAAAAAACACCTATCTCTACTTACCTACATAATATATTTTATTACAATCTATCAAATTTTTGTTTCAATTTATTTTAATAGTTTTCAATGATATGAGCACTGTGTACTTTATAAATTTATAAACTGGATTATTCGAAGAATTTGATCTGGAAGTACCTAAATTGAGAGACACTTATGTTTAGGAGAAGATATCTTTTAGTTGCAGTAAGATTAATGTCGATTATAGTTTAGTCTTAATTTAAGTTATAAAATACCTGCTATTTACCCGTAAAAAGTAGCATATTATAACCTACATATATCTGTGCCAAATTTTACTCAGATCCAATCAGTAGTGTTTATGTGAACGCATAATATACATCCATCCACATCAACCCGCGCTTAATTATTGTGATATCAGGGTGATGATTACATTTTAATTTAAGAAGACTTAAAAGTCGTTCCCAAGGTAATGTTACTGACACCACTTGAACTTTACACAGGAAAAGATTATTTAATGTTATTAACCACTGCATACGGGCCATGATGAGACCAGGAAACATTAAGAAGATAAACTTGAAATTTTGGCTTGCATCCAAGTCGGTGAGGGTCGACGCTGGGCCTGATCTGTTTATTTAATAGTGAAATTATTGTAAATATTGCCTATATTATTATTCGGACCCAACACAAGGGCTTCAATTTACAAAATAGCTGTGTTTGCTTCTTAAATACTTTTTGAAATGGTTTAGACATCACAGACTAGACTCGTACGCCTTCCAAGGTCCGGGACTGTGTGGTCCCGTGAAAGGAAAGAACAAACAACATATAACGATATAAATAGCAGTCTTTTTGAGCAGGGTAAATGCTAAATATACTTCTCTCGTCAGAGGGAGTTCCAATGTGTCTCTTACAGACTAAAAACGTCCCCGTTCCTACTCCTGCCACAAGCTGAGGCCGGTACATTATAGCGCTTGACTCTCAACCCCATCTCTTAATAACAGCCTTCAGTACTAAAGTAATACCTAGACAACAGCAAATCATCCTATACCAATGTATTTAATAGATTTTAGACTTTAAACATCTTGTAACACAGTTGAAAATGTACCTTTTAAGAATTCGTTGGTCGCAAGTAGCAACACCGGCTCGAAATACTTGCACCGATAGCAAAATGTACGTGGCTGCGTATGCACATAATTATTGTGTAGACTAAGAATAGATGGAGTAAACAGATCTGATAGCTCTTATACATAATACAACGTGGAAATTGATTTATTATAAGGTAAAGTATATTTGAAAATTTTACTTCACGTAACTGTCTACTAATACTAGAAAACCAATACAAACTCATAAACAGAATTAATTTTAATAAAAGTGGCTACTCTCGCGCGGTTTATCCCGCTGATCGGCTCTTTTTGATCGTGGCGTGATGTTTTATAGCTTATAAGCACTTAAGAACATTGTAGCTATCTATCTGTGAAAGGATTTTGGCAATCCGACCAGCGGTTCTAAATATTACCCCCTACATACAAACTTACAAATTTTACTTTTTTATAATATTAGTATAGATGTTGTTGTAAATAAACTTGGCTGAGCACTACCATGCCTCTTAAGAAAAACCTCTCCTCTACGGAAAAATAGTCGATTCCATGATGCAATTCCATCAAACATTTCTAAACACAAGAAAAAACAATTTTCCTTCCAATAAAAATCTAGGTACCTACACTATAAAACATGCAATTAACTGCAGTAAAATTAAATGATAAACGTACATAAAACAATTTAATAGCCTCTCTGAAAGAGTGATAGGACAAAAAAAACTTTTATAAAATAATTCTATGTCCTATACTTACAACATTTCATAGAGTTTAATTGCTATGGTCTAATTTTAAACAATTTTGGCGTGTCTTTTTATCTAGGGAAAAGTTATCTAAAAATTGAATTTAGGTATAGTCAGGGGTCAAAAATGAAATTGCACATCTACCAATTTTAAAATGACCAAAATATCTTTGTAGAATAGAGTCAATGGTTGAGGACTGCTTTAATTTATAGCATAGAATCTAAATTATTGAATAAACAGGCTGTGAACCATTGAACTTTTACTACAAAGAAATTTTAGTCATTTTAAAATCGGTAAAGTGTAATTGTATTTTTGACCCCTGACTGTACCTACCTACAAATGTTTACAATCAGGTATTTACCTAAATCAATGTTAGCTAATAAACTAAATTTAAATAATCCACATTGCATCGCTGTATCCATTTAAACTTATTTTGGTAAACTGTACTGCATTACTTTAAATTTCATAGTGAAATCTCAATTTTTTATTGTATTTAGCTAACTCTAGAACAAACATCATGTTGTGTGATTACGTTAGGGTATCAATCAGTACTTAACCTATATACTGTTATAATCACCATGCTTTGATTGTTACCTGTTGTAATTACCTTAATAAATAAATAAATAAATAAATCCTTGTATGTATTTTATATGGCTTGCTTAATATAAAAGACATAACAAGACTGTGTACCTCTAGTTAACCATCGAAACCGATAAACCATTGGTAGTTTACGAGTCATGAACAAACGTGGGAAGGTATAAACAACGCCAGAATCTACGCATTGTCGCTTCTGCAAACATATTCTATATTACAGGTATGCACCGCAGTTCTTTGCCACGCCTCGACTATAAATAGCCTTTATGTAGGTATACAAGCATCGCATATATAATGTACTTAAATATACTACCTACTTATGTTAGCAATCACTTATCAACACCCTTAAGTCACTTACAATAAGGTCGAGAATGTACTTGTGCTACTACGCAATCATTT